GAGGAAAAGGAAAGTGGGGGGGGAAGGTGTCAGTTTTAAGATCTGGTTTTGTTTCTTTCTGTCCTCTTGAGTAACCGGTTTTGTTTCTTTCTGTCCTCTTGAGTAACCTGTTTTGTTTCCCTTTGTCCTTCTAAGTAACCATTAATAAACTGTTTTGCTTTAAGAAAACCCAGTCTGTTTTGCCCGGGACCATGGTTGGTGGGTGCTCCCTCTGTTCTTGTCTCAACCCTCAGCCTCTTTATTTTTTTTTCTCCTCTCCACTTTACTGGAGAAGGACAGACTGTGTGAGTTTTAGTTGCTGGTTCAACCTAACCCACAACAGGACTCCAGAGCTGAACATAGTATTCTACGTGGGGTCTCATGAGAGCAGAGTAGAGGGGCAGAATCACCTCCCTTGACCTGCTGGCCACGCTGCTTTGGATGCAGCCCAGGACACGGTTGGCTTTCTGGGCTGCCAGCGCACATTGCCGGCTCATGTTGAGCTTCTCATCCACCAGCACCCCCCAAGTCCTTCTCCTCAGGGCTGCTCTTAATCCATTCTCTGCCCGGTCTGTACTTGTGCTTGGGATTGCCTCAACCCACGTGCAGGACCTTGCACTTATTGAACTTCATGAGGTTCTCACAGGCCCACCTCTCAAGCCTGTCAAGGCCCCTCTGGATGGCATCCCTTCCCTCCAGCGTGTCCACAACACCACACAACTTGGTGTCATCAGCAAACTTGCTGAGGGTGCACTTCCAGAAGAGAGATTCACTTCCAGAAGAGAGATTATAAGAAACAATTACCACATCACACCTGTAACACTGAGATTTGTGCGTGCTAGAACTGCCCAATCACAGAAAAATTTACCATGTTCTTCATTTTACCATCAAACTCTGTTGAATTAAGACTGATCATAGAGTCTAAACATGGATCACAAGGTGCCACGGAGTTCACAACAGGATCTATGGTTCATAGTCACCATGTAGCAGAATCTTAATCACACTGCTGTATTAGAGTCATTTAATTAGCAGCTTTTGCAATGACTATAGTCTTACTATGGAATTGCAAAGAATTTTACGAAAGAAGATCTAGATTCTTCACTGGAAAGTTTTTGCTTGTTTGTTTCTTTTTGATGTTGAGATGCTCCCTTTTGAAAAAGATATTATTAAACTTGTATTATAATTAAATATCTGTCTAATTTTATACCATGGACACATAAAACTTTAATTACATACTTTATGAACTATAATACAGTTAGCCCATGTACTATATCCATCTTTTTATATATATATTTTATATATAGCTTCTCAAACATTAAATTTGTTTCTTTGAAAATCCTTTTATAACATTCAAAAAATAAGATACTTCACCAGCAACTTTAGTGAGATCTACTAAACTAACTATAGCAGCTTTAAACCTGACTATCTGTTTGCAGACTCCACATTCGCCTTTAATTAAGGCTTGCTAGACCACAAACTATTGGTTCACTTCATTCAGCAATTCTCTTCAGGTTCAAAAGAACTAAAACTTATTTTACACAGAATTTCTTATTTCTTTGCCTTTCCACATTCAAGTATCCAGTCATTTCTAATTTTTGCAGTGCAGAGTATATATGGACCTATCTTACCTTGCATGTGTTCCACATAGCAATATACATCATAAGTCTCATTAGGAAAACGGCGCCCATATGTTCTGACTCCTTTCTTTCCCATTTTATCTCCAAAGCAGCCAATTCTTGGATGTCTAATTGGATATCTGAAATGCAGCATGCTCATATTTATTATTATGGTAATTTTAAGTCTATACAGGCTAAATATATTAATTCTGGGAAACTGTGTCAGAGGGCCTTTTAAATGTCTCACCTAACAGTCTGGTCAGACAACCAGCCAGCATCACACTGCTCAAATCCATCTTCATAGGCTGCTTTCAGTTGTTCTGGGCTTGCTATGACAGCACCGTTGTCCAGACAGGTCTGCTGAGCTTGTGTAAAATTCAGAGTATATCTGCTGGTTGCTGCACGATAGTGAAATACAACGCCTGAAAAGACAAAAAATTTACATTAGTGACACATTTCGCATCATTTCTGCAACCACTACCATACTGTGACTTTACCTAGGTATTGTTACAATGCTGAAAACAGGTGGGTACAACAAGAATAGTAAAAGGCCAAGAGATATGCCATCACATAAATGATGTCCCCCCCTCTAGTGGCTGCTACCAGTAATTATATAACACCTTATGTTATTAATAGTTGGTGAAATTATATTCACTGTACACACAGAAAAAAGTAATTAAACCATATAAACATTTTCACTGCTCTATTAAAGAAAATCGTGATCAAAAGGGAGAATAAATGCTGAATTATGGCAACGACATCACACAGTTATCCAGTTTCTTCCAGTTCCAAGCACTGATCGGCTAACTGAAGGCACGGTTGTTTATCCTAACAGTGCTACCTGACACATTGGCTTACTGGCCTACATGACACATCCGATTGCGAGTCAAACTGTGTGACCAGACAAGACTAAGCACATCTAGACCTCATAAAAAGTGGGCTTAAAATCAGACTTTCCAAAGCAGCCAGCTGCAGCAACTGCGCGCAGAAGTGCCAACAGTGAGTGAGGGATCCCTTGAGTGCTTGAGGTCTGGTAGCTGCAGTGAGAAATGTGACCAACGGGCACACCAAAAAAATTGTGCCTTTGATGCAGATTTGATAATCAGTGATGGCCCTGAGGTCTGTTCCTATGCATCCAAGCTTACTACAAATGTAACATTTATAAATACATGGCTGTTGGTCAATTTTTCATAACCATGTTTTCCTGCACACACTACAAACTATACAGACAAAACAAAGCTTGCTTTTATTTGGGGCCTTTCTGGTTCTGGAAAGAATCTTGACAATTTCAAAAGTTACTTGAGCACGTCAGATGTTTGGAGAGGGAGGCTTAGAGTTAAGATGGTTTTGGTTAAGACAGGATCTGTCTAGAAGCCATGTTCTGTTTTCTATATACACGTAATTCCCACTGAGTTCAGCTGCACACGCACACCTAAAACAAGCCATAAAGGGCACCAACTCTGAAGGGGCAGAAAAGAGACATTCTACCTTGCAAAATCACTTCCCCGCTATTGCCAGTGTCTTTTACAATTTAGCATCAAAAGGATGTCTCCTAATGATCTCTGAAAAATAACATTCAACCTCCCTTATTTCACTCTAAAATCTTCAGAAGCATTGCAACACCATAAATCATCCACTACACAGAATGGCTACAAAGCAAGAGAAATAAACCATAAAATGTTCCTTTTCTCTGATGATTTTATTGGAGTACTTCATGATGAGGAAATAACATACTGTAATATAGTTTGGGTAAATGGTGCCATTGTAGCAATAATGAGTTTAACAACAAGTCTTTGTTATTAGAGCATTGTTGAAAGACGGAAGAAGACTACTAATTTATGAATAAACAGAAATATGGGTAACTTAATAAAATGTTGATTCAAGAGGTTCCAACATATTTAGAAATACTTTTTCTCATGCAGACAAATTCAGTAGAATTTTGTCATTTATCAAAGGTCTGGATCCAGCCAATAAATAGAAAATACACATTTTTCTTCTTGTCATGATTCACTAAGAAGGTTTCTGAAATTAAAATAGAATTCATTATCTGAAAAATACTCACAGGTAGGTTAAATCTCAATCATCACACACCAATTTTATCAAAGTTACTGGCAGAGAAACAGGAAATAGGAAATACCGGGAATTCCCAAATTTCATCATTTAATATGGAATTACACACCAGCTGCAGCCACTAACTGGACTTTTACAGACCACTAGCATCCCCATAGAATCCCTTTTCAGAACCACTGACAGAACCATCATAAACAATGCTTCTTCCAAGCAATGATGTAATTTCATCTTCAACTGGATCCAAGCATTGTTTGGCAACAGTGACAAGTAAAGAATAGACCCTGAAAAATTATGGTTACATTTCTATTACTAAATTAAATATTCCAGGTGCCTGCAATTCAGTCATCAAGGCTGTTAAATTGTTAGGTTAATTCACTGCACTATTTGGCCCAGGCCCTATAACACACTTCCAAACAATTTCTGTGCAGACTTCAGGAGCTAGCAAAGACCAGGGACAACTTCTAATGGGCACCTTCATCCCATGCTGGCAGCCAAAGGAGCATAACAGCACAGATGGGGCCACACCACTCCAGACAGACTCAGTGCTAGAGCACAGCGCATTTTCTTACTAACGTGAACTATCTGTAGTGGGAGACATCGAAAGGGAATATCAGAGAGACAGCTTTTCTAGCTCCTGTATCCGTGCACTTTCTCTGTTAAAGGACATCCTCCATTGCCTGGTTAGGGTAAATTCACATACCATTGTCTTAAGATGTGCAAAACTTTATTTATACATGTAAGTCTATGTTTATATATGTGTGTGTGCCTATTTTGGCTTCGTGTACCCTAAACAACACAGTTCTTTACTGCATGCCCAACACAGAGCATTATCTCACAACATAAAAAAGAGTTAGATGACAGTAACTAATCATGTTTGGAATTTAAAAGCCTAAACCAACAAAAATATGATTTGGAGATTTTTTTTTAAAGCTGTGGTATACATTAAAATACTTACTTTAATATATTCAGAATTTAGTAACATTGGTTGATGCTGTGAGCAAGATACTTGCTGGTATAAACGAGCATGGCTCTATTCAGTGGTACAGTAGCAAATAAAAAAGCAAGTTCGAGTGACCTGCTTGGTGTTCTGAGTTGAGAAATAAGAAATGGGCAATTTTTACAGAGCTCACAACCAAAGTGCATAAAATATTTAACCTGAATCATACATATGAACTCATAATAATAGTGACAAGCTGGGCATCTGTCTTTACCGCATGTTACTGCTGAATATATACAAATATTTTAAATTTCTTTTTTTTGGTAGCGCTGGTGTTCGGTAGTATACAATATTTGACACTGACTCTATAACTCAGGGTCAAACCAGAAATGCACAAGTATGTGAAGCAATTTGTTCATTTGATTTGTTGTTTTAATCTTAATTAAAATTTATTTCATATGAATTTAGAATAATTGCCTGCTTTTTGGTTTGGGGTTTTTTTTTGCAAGGTTGCGTGACTAATGCTATATGACTTCAATTGGGCACAAGAGCACTGCTTCTCTGAACAACCACAAAAAGGTTCATTAACTTAGCAGGAGATGGCAACATATTTCTCTGAACTCGCACTTTTTTAAAACTTCCTACTGCTTAAACATGAGTGCGTTATCCACAAGTAGCTATCTCACCTCTCATTTCTTCCATGTTGGAAGCAATCACTGCCCTTCCTATCCGGCATAAATTTGAGATTCCCATGATACCCGAATAAGGCAGGGCTAAAGAGTTAATATCACTGTCAATTTAAAGTAGCTTTTGCAGTGCTGAGAAGAGCCTTTGGTCATTTGTAAATCCTGGAAAGGAACTTGGAGAATGCTTTGTTCTCCTTGCCCTGATCCAAAAGGTAAACTTCACCTATTCTTAGAGTTGAAGGCTCTTCCATTTCCAGTGAGGAGCTAATGGACATAAAAGAGCCTCCAAGATGAATGGGAAGGAGGACGTCAGCACGTATAAGCCTGTGCAACAGCTGCAATAATTAGAAGACCCCCTGGGGCTAAGAAGATTAAAGTGCAGGACTTTCATTGTTTCAGTTAGACAGAGAGAGAGGGGCAAAATCCATTGTCCGAGTTCTTGCAGTTTAAAACATTTGTAAAGGATTTTTTCCCTTTGTCTATTTCCTCTCTGAAAGAAAAGGCAAGAAAGGAGTTGTCCAAGGAACAAATAAAGCAACTGGAAAACAGACTACAGCAGTATAATGTTGTCACTGAACATCTGGCAAACAAAGTCAGTGTAATTACAGGAAGGAGCAGCAGTGTCTGCAAGAAAGAGCACTCACAGGAAAGTAATTTGTAGCATCCAAAATTCACTTCTGTCTGAGCAAGAGAGGATGTCTTTTAATCATTTGTCTCTGTCTTAGACTGGAAAATGAAAACATGAAGTATTTCACTTTTAACAAACGAGGTCTTCCATGATTAAGAGCCTGGTTCGGTGGGTTCACGCCTTTGGGTTGCAGCTTTGCTTTATTACTTGTCAAGGTATCATGCAGCAAAACCTCGTGGAACTGCAGGGGAAGGGCTCCTGCTATGGCTAATAAGTTACAGTTCACTTTCACTAGTGAGCTCACACTGCTGCAACGTGCACTCTTGCAGTCACAAAAAGCCCGAATTTCACAAGGTGTCACATACAGCAAAGAATATCTAAAGATAAAAGATTACTGTGGTAGTAATTGTTATTCAGTTAAATTTTATGTTCAAACCTTAGCCACTGTAGCGCAGACCGCTGAAATAACCCCCAACCCACTGCCAAAGCTACCACACAGTATGCTGATCCTCCTTGCTTTTAATGCAGAAGACAATTTACATTACAAATACACGCCAAAGTAGAGGTTGCAGGACTGAGCACAGTATGAAAGGAAGGAATAAGGCAGCATTTTCAGCTTCCTGCATGAATAATTCATTCGTGTTCTGCATTCGAGGTTTTGCACCCATCTTCTGACCCCTGTCTTAGGCTTTCGCAATCTGAGAAGAACAGGCTCGCCTTGGATCAGCAGGAGCTCCATTGCCAAACGCCTCGGGGAACTTCTCATGGTGGGGAGAGAAAGTGCATACCACCTCTCTGCTCCGTTAGCCCCGTGCCTCCTGCTCTCCAGCGACAGAAACTCCTTGCATTCACTAGCATGTCGCTCCTCCGTGCAAAATCTTTGTGTCCATTCTCACAGAGCAACACAGCTGTGTGCAGGTGTACGTGAGCTCCTCTGGACAAGTCGGTCCAGATATGGAAAGCGACTGATGCTGAGCTTTATCTGTATTTTTCTCAGGGGAAGGACTTTTTTACTACATCTGTATTAATCTCTGAATACGCAAGGGGATCACCTGCCTCACCCCATTATCTCTGCACAGCAACATAGTGTGTGAACAAGTG